TACTTGGGGTGCTGGAGATAGAACCTGGGTTGGCAGTGCCACACAAGCACCTTACCCAGTGTACCACCTCTCTGGCTGGAGTTTTGGTGTTTGATCAATCCACTGCTGTGGAGCAAATGTCTTCCAAGCTACCAGGAAACTACTAGTTGTTATTTACCATGAAGTTATTGTTTCAAATAAAAGTCCTGGTTTTGAGGAGATGATGAGAGTTTGGTGTCCTATTTCAGAGAATGAAGAGAAAAGAGAAGACAGGAGAGATAAACATAACTAAGTACTGTGTGAAACCATCAGATAAACAAACCAGCACAGAACTTTTTATATTATGGTGACTGGAGTTAGATGTGTGCAATGATAAAATTTTAATATATCCACTACTTTTGCAGTAAAATTTAAAGCTTTGGGGGAATGGGAAAGACTTTCATTTTGGGGAACTGGATGATCAAAGCTTGGGAGAAGGTGTGTGAATCACAAATGCAAAAGTATCTTCATCTTGAAATTTTGCAAAAGTATGAAAATGATGAGTAGAACTCAGCACAAGAAAAGACATCCCCCTCTACCACCCCCCAGCTTAACTTTAAGTTTGTTTCAATGTAAATCACTTCTTCTTGGAATATAATAGAACACATTGTTTTCTGCAGTCTGTTAATGGAATTCTAGATATTCAAAGGACAAGTAAATTTACACCTACTGAGAAAGAGCCTCCGCAGGGGTTTTGCATATGCTAGCTTTCTCTTGTTAGACAGTCCTGTCTGGTACAAAAAGGGCACAGCAAACTTGGCCCACAATGCTGCAGAAGAGTATGTAACACATACTTTACTTCTCTCTGACAACTTGAGAAGTAAAATATGGCATTCCAACAGGTGTTCAGACTTCAATTCGGGATTCTTCCCAAGGATTCCCCACAAAGGTGACATGATTACATGTGCTTATTCCAGCAAGTGCTTACAAGTAAATTATTCAGTGGGAGCTGAGGCTCCAAATTTCAGTTTTGACTTATCCTACTGTTTTAATTTCTCCTTTTACATCTTTAATTTATGGTTGTCTAAAAATCTAATTAGTTATTAATTCTTGGGAATTAAGTGCTACAAGCATGATAAGAAACTAAAGCGGACTAAAGAGAGAAAGAAAGACTAGTTAACTGTGAAAAATTCATTCATAATGAACTTCTGCGTGAGTGGGGGGTTTAGCTATAATTACCCTAAATAGATTTAAAAAGTAAGATCCTTCTTTAGCTAAACGATAATGTTTCAGCATTTCCTAAGGCTGTTTGGCAGCACAGTAGTTCCAAGCAGATACACTTTTTTTTTGAAATAACACTTTAAGATCATGTGGTATAATATCACCTCTTCTTGGAAACTCCTCATGGGGCATATTAAAGGCTCTGAGAAGTCCTGCAGTAAAAATAATCTGCACATTTGTGTTTAACTCAATGTTGCCCAAATTTTTATTAACCGAAGAACTCCGTCTATTAATAAGGACAAATAGATGCTGCATTAGTTTGAGCATTCATTTAATGTTTTAAAAGCATCAGGAGTGATGCTCTTTACTAGGTATTATGATTCGATTCAATTGCTGCAGGAGACAGGTTTTTCAGATAAAATCCAATGACCCACCCCATCTTTGCAAATACACTGCTTCAAATAAGAATGTGTGCGCCAACATGGAGCATCCATCTGCTTTAGCTCACAAAACCAAGATTTGGGAATCTTTTCAACATGATATCCAAAAGAAGATTCTGATTCTGCCACGGAGAAATAGTGACATACTCCTTCATATCTTTCTCTTTGTTTCGTAACGTGTGATTGCTCTCTCCTCCTTTTCTTCATCCCTCTAAAAGTGTAATTATGCTTTTTTTCCCATTTACTGCTCTCAATTTGAGAACTGGAGAAATGCTCTTTTATGTGTGTCTGATTTATTTCATAAGAATGGAATAGCCTGACCACTTTGAGGTAATCTCCTTCACAAAAAAGCACCTAGGTGATAATTAGCTTATTTCAAGAAGGCTCTACCTGTCTTCCCCCAAATGTGACTCTCCATGGAACACTGAGTTTCTGCTGGCTTACAATGAAAGTTACTCTCAAAATAATAAATAACCTGTAGCATACAAGTTAATTAAGTCAGAGCCGAATATTCAATAATCCCTCTGTTAGAAAAGTGATGTCTTGACCTCTGAGAGAATTGCCCTGCTCCTGAGATATCAAAGCATCCTTAAATTCATTCCATGTACACCTTTTAAAAGTCACTGGAAGTAGAGAAGTGAGTACAAAGTTTTCTCTGAGAACTGTGAAACATTCGGGGTGCCTGAAAATCAAATATGCCAGTAATTGCTTTGAACAAGTCACCTCTAGTTTCTGTGCCTCGGTTTCCTTGCCTGAAACAGAGTTCATGCTCAGACCACGTAGTTAGGAAAAAAAAATCCAAAGAAGCATTTAAGAGGCTTGCCGACACATAAAAAATATTCGATCAAGAATCTTCATTTCACTCAGAATGTTTCCGTTTTCTTAAACTGTCAGAGAAAGAGAAAGTTTTTAATGTCCAAATTTCAGTTTTGACTAACTCTCCTGTTGGGATTTTTTTTTTATGCATCACTAATAGTTATAGAAAAAAAAACCAATTATTCTTCAGTCTAAGTAGGAGCCATATATATGACAAAGAACCAAAAAGACTATCTGGAGAAAGACAAATAGTTAACCATTAAATGTTCATTCATAAAGAACTTGCATGTAAATGGGAGCGAAGCCACAATTGCCCTAAATTAATGAGAAATTTACATCACTAAGAACAATTCTGCCTTCCTCAATACTTGAAGCTGTTAGATTTATGTTGGAGTAAAATTAAGCTAAACTGGGCTAAAGTCACATTTGGGGGTCACATTTGGGAAGTCTCGCCTGTGAAATCATTGAGACTGAGGTTAAATTTTCAAAAGCTTCGTTTTCATTGGAAAAATGCACAGACCAACAATTTCTCAGTGTTAGCTCCACCCCACTCCAATCTGTTACTTTTACTTCCAACGTCAAAGGCAAGCTCTTCTCATTTCAATTGTACCCTGAGCACCCTCCCCCATAAAATACAGTTTAAAGGCCAGCTGCAGTGTGGAGCCTTTTCTCTGAGCCTACAGTTTCAAACAAACGACTGGGCAGAAGCCAGTTTCTATATGGGCTCGCGAAGACTGTAAAACATTTGGTGCCGAGTGGAAAAAGACGCCTGTGAGCTCTGCCAGACGTTTTCAGCTTTCTTGCACCCGTGCCAAGTGTTTTTCAGCTCCCCTACCCCTTTCTTTTGAAGGAGGGGGTGGGGCTGGGGAGATAAGCAAGCTTTCTGAGGGCATATGTTATCAGAATCGAAAAACTTGCTTCCTGCGCAGTCCCCTTTCTGAAGGCAAAATGAGAAACTCCAGCCAATCTTGGTACCAAATTTCTGAGCATTTAAGCCTGCTTGACATTCATTTCATCCTATCACATACCACTCTGAATTCTGAAGACCACCTCCTCCCCAGCCTCCACCCTGCAGTCTGTCTGAAATCTTTCTTGAACTCTCAGTTGAATCACCCCTGCCCATCACCGACACCAAATTGCCAATTATTTCAAGGAAATAATTTGCAAGTTGAGACAGTTTGTAACATGCAAAAATATGTGTGGAAGAAAGTATATGTTTCTTAAAGGAAGAACACCCAAAATGTTTTCGGATGAAAGTGTGAAAATGTCTAAACATAGATGACATGATACAGATCATGAGAAAGTCAATTTGAAATGATTCTGGAACCTTGCAATAATGTTTTCAAAAGAAGAAATCAGGAGAAGGGAGGTCCTTCTCACACTCTGCACAGTAGTGTGGAACAGAAAGACTTCCACAGTGGTCTGTATTTTCCCATGAACTCTCAGTTCAACAACTTTATGAATCATTTCCCCCATTTACAGATCAGGAAACTGAGAACAGAGGGTACAGAAGATTCAGTGTAATGGAGGCACTACTTGGATTTGATCCCTCATCTCTTTGTCTCTGCGTTATCTGTCAGCCAGCCAGGACAGTCTCCAGAAGTCATTTCAGTTCTTGGGATTGGGGAGGTTGGTGGGGGGTAAGAAAACACACACATATATTCATTCCCCTGAGCTTGGACTCTCTTTAAGATACGATTGCTCCCCAAACACAAGATATAGCTTCATTAAGCACTTTTTGAAGAATGAGAAAAATGGAACCCTTTTCTTTGGACAATTTTTCCTCCAAGACGCAGATAAAAGCATCTCTGTGCTGTAGCAGATTGGATTGGGGAAAGAAGAGAGTGGCAGTATGAGGATGCATTGTCTTCCGGCTTGAGAAATCTCTTAAAAATGTCAAGTGAAACCTGCCACTTCCTTGTGGACCTCCAGTGTTCACCCATTATTTCAAAATAATAGCCGTTGTTTCCAAATGAAGTCCAAGTTCTTTACTGTGGTTAGACCATGATCCTTGGACTAAATTTCCAGCCTTCATAGAAGCAATAATTTTGCCCAACAGAAGAGGTTCTTTTCTACCTCAGGTTATTTATTTCTAATGTTCCTCCATCATAAAAGTCCCCACTCATCTTCCTGGTGACAGATTTTGCTATCTTTCCCCATGGAAACAAATTAAATTAGGAGAATTTTGTTTGTCTCTTAGCATTATTTTTTTTTCTTACTATTACTTGACCTAGTTTCTAACTCCATAGCAAGGGCAGAAACAGCATGTCTTTTATACACAACACTCTGTCCATAAGAACCATGTTTCTGCTGCAGAGTATGCTTGGATTAGATATTTTGTGCAAGACTGAAAAATGGGCAGCACCTTGTTACTCTGATTGTTCAATGAATAACAACTTGAATTTAGCTTGATTGGATACTAACCCAATTCGAGGAGATTCCTGCCTATGCAGCTATGTAAAAAGTACATTTAAAAGTCTTTTTTAAAAATATGAACATGGTCATAAAAAAGATGTGTCCAATAATTTCACAGCAAATGTTTTGGCTGCAAGCTGTTTTAATGCTACCCTCCAGTTTCCTTTCCTGTGGCTGAACGCTGGTCTTGTAGTTGTAAAAAGAGAAATAGCAATACTGAGTCTGGCCTCCAGGTCTCATAGCATCTGCCATGTAGCACACGGGCTAGTTTCAAACAAGAGTTTGTTTTGTTTTGTTGTTTGCTTTAAAAGCAGTTCTGGAAATAAATAAATAAATAAATAAATAAATAACCGCCCTTCCCCTTCCCCTTCTCACCACACAGACATTAATTGACCATAAGGCAACTTTGCATTCCAATAAGTTGAAGCTTGGTTTAACTTCACCTTCAAGCAAATAAGACACCTACTCTTTGCAAACAATATTATTTTCTATTATAGCAATTTCTAACCTCAATTTATGTTCTCTGACATTACATTTCAGTATGTTTATTCAATGAAAACTACCCAAAAATATATATTACTATGAATGAGAAACTTAGAGAACAAGTGTTTAAATTCAATCCACAATGTTTAAGTATTATCTGAGTTCCACATATTTTTAAATACTTTTAACTCGTCTATATTTCATATTTTCCTGATACTTTTATATAAAAATACTTGGCATTTTAATTACTACTTTTTTCATGTTCCATGATATTTTCAATGTCACACTTCCTTTTATGTCTTATCATAAATCAAAATCAGTCTATGCTTCATAATGTTCTTTTGAATGTCCCTCTTTCATTTACATTCTTTCCTCTTTTGCAGAAAAAGCAACCTGATTTGCTGCATGGCAAAAATGCTTGTAGTGCAAAGGTGTCTTTGGTGAAACTATACAGACCCTTAAGAAGATTTCAGGTTAAAATATTTGTTTCTAAGTCTTAATTGCTTAAGGTATGTACATAGGTATGTATATATGTATCATATACATGATGTATATAGTATATTTCAGTAATAATCAACATGATTACTATTTGGACAATATTATTATTATTATTATTAGCTCCCCTTGATATGAGAATTCCCTATAACCAATTTAGCTCCAACTTCATTGAAATACATTAAAAGTTATTAACACTTCATATCTATTATATATACATATATGTAAAGAGTTGAAACTTAGAATAATTAAACTATGTGATATTTCTCAGGCTAGTTTAGATTAAAAATCTAAACTAACTCAAAGTCACTTGTGTTCAGACTATTGGCTTCCATCACTCAAAAACTAAAAAATAAAAACCTTTTAATAATGCCCCAAATTTAATAAAATAACAAGCATTTGTTCTTACTTAACAACTGGTAGAACGAAGACAATAGGACAGTGTAAAATGTCTACTCAGCAAGTTCTTGCCACATACATTCAAGAGTGTTTTCCTTATGAAATAAAATTTTTCCTCTAAACTTCTGTGCATATCAATGTTGTCACTACAGTTTAAGAGTTCAAACAAAAGTTCATGGTGAAATTTAGTGCTATAATAGGGAATTTTCCCAGATATGACTGGGTCTTTCAACTTTAAGTCAGAATTATTCTCAGGTTCCAGACAAGGTCAGACCTGAACACCTGAAGAACCTGCCGTCAGTACTCATCAATACACTGGCTCGGCTCTTCACTCGCTACCTGTCTGAATGCAAGGTTCCATCTCAATGGAAAACCAGCAGGACCGTACTACTGTTCAAGAAGGGAGACATCCATGACATTGGCAACTATCGCCCGATCTGCCTATTGTCTGTCATCTACAAGTTGTTCACTCGAGTCATCCTGAATAGGATTGGCAGAACACTAGATGAAGGACAACCATGTGAGCAAGCAGGGTTCCGCAAAGGATTCAGCACCATCGACCATATCCACACGATAACCAAACTCATTGAGGTTTCTCGGGAGTTCAAGATGCCGCTCTGCTTAACGTTCATTGATTTAAAGAAGGCCTTTGATTCTGTTGAGACGGAAGCGGTCATTGAAGCCCTAGCCAATCAGGGCATTCAAGCCCAATACATCAGGATCCTCCGTGAGCTGTATTGCGGATTCACTACCAGGATCTCACCATTCTACAAAGAAGTGATCGTTGATGTCAAGAGAGGGGTGCGGCAGGGTGATACCATTTCACCGAAACTCTTCAGTGCCACCCTCGAGAACATCATGCGACGACTGGAATGGGAAGGAATGGGAGTGAAGATAGATGGTCGGCAACTACACCACCTCCGCTTTGCTGATGACATTGTTTTAATAACACCAAACATCAGCCAAGCGGCACAAATGCTGGCCGACTTTGATCGTGAGTGTGGAAAGGTAGGACTACAGCTGAATCTTACGAAGACAATGTTTATGAGAAACAGCCTTGTTCCTGACGCCCCATTCGCTCTCAATGGAACGACCATCTCCGAATGCAACAGCTATGTGTACCTAGGTCGAGAGGTCAACATGACAAATGACCTGGCACCCGAGCTGCGCAGGAGGAAGAGAGCGGCTTGGAACGCCTTCAAGAACGTCGAAGAAATAGCTAAGAGGACGAAGAACCTCCGGCTCCGGGCACATCTCTTTGATTCCACTGTTCTTCCTGCATTAACATATGCCTCAGAGACCTGGGCCCTACGCAAACAAGATGAGAATGCCATTCAGGTCTCCCAAAGAAGAATAGAAGGAGCTATGCTTGGAATATCACGTTTCACTCAAATGAGAGAACGAATCCGGAGTTCTGACATCCGTCGACGATCAAGGATCAGGGAAGCTGTCTCATTTGCCAAGGTGTCGAAAATCAGATGGGCTGGTCACGTAATGAGATTTAAAGACGACCGTTGGACTAGAGCTGTTACTGATTGGATTCCACGGGATGTCAAGAGACCGCGTGGCCGCCCACCTACCAGATGGTCAGACTTCTTTGTCAAGGTCATGAAGGATCGGTTTGAGGCCCTCCATGTTCCCGGAGCGAAGAGATGCCATTGGGCTACACTAGCACGCGACAGGGACAAATGGAGACGTTACTGGCGCCCGCTCGAGCAAATCGACAACTAACGGGAAGTTAAGTGATTAAGTGTGATTCTCAGGTTCAAGTAAAGACTGTTAAGGTAAAAATCCTGACCAGCAGCAAATAGATCCCTCAGTAAAATGATACACTGCTTGCCTTTGGTGTTTATTCACATGGTATTTTGGCTAATTAGTAGAACCAAGGTAGTGACCTAGCAAAGTTAAATGAATATATGGGTTACTAGTAGATAAAAACCGGCTTTTTCCCTACAGACACCTTAGGTAATGAGGTTATTATTCCATTTGCACTTAGGTATATTCAATCAACATCTCAGCCCAAGTATTTTTTGAACACTGTGACTGAGTTTCAGTTCCTAATTTTTTTTAACTTTTTCATAGAAAAATGGCAGGGTTTCAGAAGGGAGAAAAGAAAGAGGAGATGGGGGGAAATGAGGGGTTGGATGGGGTATGGAGAGGAGGGGAAGGGAGACGAGGAAGCAAGAAAGCTAGAAAGGAAGGTAACAAGAAACATCAACTATGGGCCTAGAGAAACCCTGGAAACTCGTACATTTTTTGCTATTCTACACATCAGACTCAATCTCCTGTGTCTTCATTTACCCTTCTTTAAAATGGGCCTAATTACCAGGCTTTGACTTTTATGAGTTTGTTGTGATGAGTGATGTCAGGATGGAAAAAATGTAAGACAAAACTGGTCTCCCTGATGTAGAATCATTATTACTCCATAAGCAACTCAAGTAACACTTCCTTGTGTAAGTCATTTAATCACTGCGTATGACCCAATCAGGGAAAAATTTTAAATGTTTCCCAAGCGGTATTTGCAGAGCGGGAAACTAGGCGAAGTTGTCCTACCCAGTTCCATGCTCCTGTTGCAAAACATTAGGCCCTTCTCAGTTTAACATTTTTTCTTGGGTAGCAGTGAGTCTTTCACTAACAGGCAGAGGTGCATTAGTGGGAGATTTATGCTAATATCTCAGCAGTGAAAATCATGAGGCTCACTATATTCTCATTCAGTCTGAGACAAGTAGCCAGGGTCTGTCCTTTAACAGGATTTCCAGGAAGGATGCTGCAGCTGAAGAAATGCTGATTTGCTGGCATTTATATATTCCAGGAAGAGGGATGTCTTAAGTATATCAGAGTCTAGAGCAGAAAATTATTTTAATGCCTGCCCCTCCCTCCATACATTCCCAGCTTAAGAAAAGAGCAGAAAATATCCACTGGCGATGGAAATGCTAGCATTAGAGAAAAGCTTCCAACCATTCTGTAGAGCCCTCATAAGATAATCAGATAGTACCCCTGGAAAATTGGGGTGCTATTCATCCCCAGTAACTGCTCCCAGGATTGCCCTGCCAGCATGTGTAATGGCCAACTGGTTCATCTTGCTAACTATAACGCTCAGCATATGGGGAGGGAGTGTTTATAGATATATACATACAGCATACATTTTTCACAGCAAGTACATATAGAGACCATCCAACTGTGTATTTTGAAGACATACAAACATGCACATGTATTGTCCATATGTTCAAACAATTTCTAAGCTATAGCATGAACAAATAAGGATATCTTTATACTGAAATTGCTAAAGGTGCTGGAGTAGACATGAGGGCATGTATTCAAAGATGAATAAAATTGTCTTGGTTCCCAACCTTACCTTTCCCAATGGGAATAACACTAAGAAAATTTTTTGTACATTTTCCTGTGAAGGGTAAATTCTTAATAAATGTTAGAAGGAGAAATTGAGTAGTTCTCCATGGAGCTGGAGAATTCTATAAAGAAGATCACACCTTCTACAAGATCATTGTCAGTGATTTTAATGCCAAGATAGGACCGAGAAGATCTGCCAAAGAACTCCACATTGGGACCAATGGTCTAGAATGGAAAAAACAGGGTGAGAGACTATCTGAGTTCATCATGTCGACCAAGACCATCCATGATAACTCACAGTTTCAGGAGGCCGAATCAAAATGTTGGACATAGGAGTCTCCTAGTGGACAGTTCCACAACGAAATTGACCACATCACACTCAATTGACAGTTTTGCCTGACCGATGTCGCTGTTGTCCCAAAAATCCAAATGGATCAGACTACCATCTCCTTCATGCAAAATTCTACTTCACAGAGTCGGGAGAAAGGGCTGCAAAGTTTTTAAGAAAAGAACTCCCAGAACGAATACCAACTGGGAGCTCTTTGGCACTATTGC